TGGCTCCTTTCAGGTTGCAGACATGATTTTCCCAGCACTCTCAAGTTGGCAGGTAGAATTGAAGTGACTCTAAGCGTTTTGACCTCTTACAGATCTGACCAATTTTCAGCACTTTGCCAAGGAAATGAAGCTAAAAGTTGTCGACGCTGCAACTAGCCATCAGCTTAAAATGTAATTTGCAAAGTTGTAGCTATTTTAATTAAAACCAAATTGGGGAGGAGCTCAGTAGCTGCCTGCCTTTTGAGAGTGTGTTTTAGATTAGGCATAACAAAACCCCAGTTTTAGGTGGGTGAACCCCATCCTTTCACTGTGCAGGTTTTGCAACATTCTCCCCGATCAAAGTAACAGTTCATTAGAAAATTCTTTGCTCTAAATTCTCCTGACTAGGGCTGCAGCTCCTTTCTGCACTTGTATTCAAACCCAAATTTTGGTGTGTTCCTTTTAAAACCCAGGCCCTGCTCCAAAGCCCACGGAAATCAGTGAAAAAAAGACGCCCGTTGACTTCACTGAGCTCTAACAGGCTCAGGCTCTAACAGCTTTGCATATGATATATACAGAGAGCTATATCACCCATATGCTATGAATTCATCCCATCAATAACTTATTCACATGGGCCAGTAAGTTTTACTACTCCTGCCGCAGGGCAGCTTCACAAAAAAATTTAACCATACCAAATATTAATTATTGTCATTATTTTACTGCTGGCAGAAGACAAACTGTCTTTATTTTAAATATTATCATGTAAAAGAGTAGCCGGGACTATCTCCAATTCCTTAAAGGTCTAAGTGGCACGTAAAAAGCCACGTTTGCTCAAAACAGAAACCCACCAAGAACTGCACAAAGAAGGAGGTCAAACCAAAGCGACAAAGAAGACCCCTCCTCCTCGTCCCCCTTTCTGTTGTTGTTTTGCTGCCATTGACCTTGCTCTGTAGATCGTTTCCTACATAAGCAGTTAAATCCAAGAGACAGAATGCAACACTCTTCTCTAGTCTGACTTCTATGACTTTGAGGCTCTCGAAAGTTTTCTTTAAATCAAATCCTCCCTTACTCCATGATTCAACTTCCACTTGTGGGGGGGGGGGGGGGGAGAGGGCAGCAACAGCTAACATCCAGTAATAATGTCCTTGGGGGGAGGGGGGGTCATAGATCATATTTGAGCTGCTCCCAGATAGCCCTTGCTCACCTAGTGAAAGGGTCTCCAGACTCACGCCTCCCCACCCCCTTCTACTTTTCCTCAGGGGATTTTTAAATCACCCTCCCCTCCCCAGCCCCAGGTCTACACCTGTAACTTACATGGGCATTGGTTTTGGAAGCCAAACCAGCTCTGATTCTTAAAGAAATAAATAACCGCCAGACCCTTAAAAGAAAAACTGTGAGAGCAAGACAAAAGAAGACAGGAAAAGAAACGATTTTTAAAAGAGAAAAATGTTGCCAGTTGGTGTTGGGGTGGGAAGAGGGCGAGGTAATTGTAGAGGTATAATTTTTCAAGGGTGCCTGCAGGAGAGAAAGGGTGTTTTCCTCCTGTAGAGGGCGTTCCAGTTCCAGATTTCAACCATTCCCTGGGCTCATTACAACGAAGACACCCCTTCCCCCTATCACTTTCTGGGAAAGGCCTTTATCAATAGAAAGGGTAGCCGACTAAATGTAATAGAATTGTGTAAAATAGCGATCCAGCCTTCCTCAGATCCCGGCACAGCTTCCATCCAGAGCTCACGACGAGTTTGCCCAGCCTCTGAAACAGGCTTTGCTCTTGATTCCTTTAGCTTTCGCCTTGGCAATCCCCTCACCCACACACACACACACACTTCCCCACTGGGGCTATACCCACAAAAATACACCCCGAAAAGGCGAGCCTGCCGTCGGAGCTTTGCCAGGAATGAGCCGTGGTCAGGCACAAAGGTTCCTTTGTTTTTTTTTCTTCTTTTTTTTGCAAATAACTGAAGAGGGCTCCTGTTTCTGTAGGGGTTTCCCCGCAGCTCTGGCTCCTAAATCTCGCCCCCGATTAAAAGGAGACCCCCGAAAGGAATTCGGTGCTCGCCCCAACCATGGAATTTCAGCGTCTCCCCTGCCAGAGACCGGAGAAACAAATACCTCTCCGCAACCCTGCCTTTCCTCCGCCGCGTTCACACGGTTTCCCCTATCATTCCCCCCCCCCGCCCTTTATCCTGTATTTTACCACTCGATCCTACACCCCCAAACTCCCTCCGCCTTCCAGGGAAGTTCTGAGCAGACAAGACACACAGACGCGGCAGAAACTAGCCTATTTTAAATCCCCCAAGCCACCTTTTCAGGCTTACAAACAGAAGGGGGGAAGTAACGCCATTGGTGGCGGAAGAGAATGTAGTCAAAGTGGCAACAGTTTATTTATTAGCCAAAATATATACTTTCTTGTACAATTTGGTTCACACATATGTACATTTTTACTGTATATACAAAAAAAAATCGAGACACCTAATTCTCACTGGACTTCCAAAAAAACCTCACGAACTCAGCTAATCCAGATGATAGTAAAGAAGCGGTTTCTTTTCTTTCTTTCTTTCTCTCTCCATTTTTTTTTTTTTAAATTTTAATATACGGACATGCTTACAAGTTGTAACTATACAGAGTTTTTTTGTTGTTGTTTTTGTTGGTTTTTTTTACACAATCATTACAATATTAATAATAATAATAAAAATTAACTATGAGGATGACAACGCTGATAGAACCATAGCTGCATCAAGTTGGTTCTGGGGCCTGGAAAAAAATGACACAGAAGAAATATTTAATAGGATTTCTGTTCAGGTTTAGTTGGCACAGTGAGTTTTAACTTTAGATAGCATTTAGTTGTGTTGAATAAAAATATTTAAATATAAATATTAAAAATGTCTATAGACTATTTATACCCATTTGCAATTAGCTGTGATACAGGATGGGCCCAAGCTTTCCCCCCCCGCAAAAGTGTCATTGACTCGAGTGGGAGTTATGCCTGAATGAGGCTAGACTGAAGTTTCTCGTATCCCAACCACCCTTCCAATAGCTTCTGCTACTGTTCACTGAATTCCCCCTTTGTTTTTATCCAGGCCTGATTTTTACCTGCACTATTTAAGGGATAAGGACTATGATAACTATTCCTGCTGCCTGGCCTATTTATTTTAACACAAACAAAAACAGCAAGCCCACAGATCAAGACGTGCCGAATGCAACTTTGCATTGCACAAGAGGTTTGCAAAGTCTCGAACGCTGAATTGAAAAGTCAACAATACTTAACTGATCATAACACCCCACAAACCACTCCGGGGAAGCAAAAGCTGCTTCCTTATGACTAGATACTGTAAAGGGAACGAACGTAGCAGAGAAAATGATCTATTTACAATTCCATTCCTCTCTCTCTATATATATATCCATAGGAGACTGAGGAAGTAATCTCTTACCGCCTCTGAACTGGCTGGAAAGCTGTCTTTATTAACTTTTTCTCTACTTCCAAGGCACTAGATCGATCTAAAAACAGAAGAAAAAATGTTCCTTTTTAAAACCCCTCTCTTCCCTCCCGCCCATCCCCGAATTAAGCCGCTGGGGATAACACTGTTGCTTGGGAAGTTTCAAATAGGGGGGAAGGATTGGTTTGCTGTAGAAATGACTGCGAAGTACTGAAGCAAGTCTCAGGGCCAGTCTTCCCCATAAAAGAGTTCCAAGCGATGTCCATTTTAGCAGCAACAACAACAAAAATCTCCGTTGGTGGCAAGTCATTATTTTTACGAAATAAATAACGTCGCCGTGTTACATTCAACAGGAACTAGCAACCGCCTATTTGTTCTCTTCCACGTGAAACGCAGTAAGTGACTACATCGTGACTGACAACTATACAACGCAGACTTGTGGGTCACTGCAGAGCACCACACTTAATGCTAAATGAGAAGTAGACGGTGTTCAAAAAATAACCAACACACGCAACAGCATCGAAAACTAGCCCTGAAATATAACTGGCCCCGCTAGCCAAGCGAGAAGAATTTTACCGTTAAAAACAAAGAAGATATATATTGACCAATTATCATTTTTCTATTCAGTCCCCCCCACCCCCGCCCCTTTCTTGGGCTGCTAGTAATTTGGAAGAGTTGGGATTTTAGGCATTGGGGTCGTTCCACTTTTTTTTAAATAGCCATTTCACTGCTTCTGGGTTGATGGGTCCCCCCACCCCTCTGTTTAGCGGCTCCGAGATGAGTCAAAGGGATCAAAAATCTGTAACCACTTCAGCCCAAAAGGGAAGGGGGGGGGGGAGAATTCAGCAAGGGAGAGTGGCAGGAGGGGAGTTTCTCTGCCCGCAGGGTGGGGTGGGCCTCTCCAGCTCTGCCCCTCCACCTCTCCCCACACTCTGTCCCCCACAGCCCAGCCCAGCCCCCGGGTCCAGGAGACCCCCTTAGCCATCACCTGTTCCAGCGGACTCCGTGCTCTGAGCCTGGTCGGCGGGTCTGGAGAAGGCAGCGATGGCTGCAGCGCCGGGGGTGGCCCCGAGTCCCAGCAGGTGGGGAGTGTTCAGTAAGGTGAGCGGGTGCGGGTGGTGGTGGTGGGCCGAGAAAGCCCGGCTGGTCCAGTTGGGAAACTTGCCCAGCGGACAGGAGGAGACGAGTCTGTGGGGCGGAGGCGGAGCCAGCGGCAGGCTCTGGGGGGCCGCCGCTGGGGGGGAGCAGCCGCTGCCGCCCCCGGGGGACTTGCGGGGGTTGTCCGGGCTGGTGGCCGTCTCAGCCAGGGACCAGATCTTGGGCTTCTGCCCCGCGCTGGCTAAGCTGCCCTCCGTCGGGGGCGAGGCCGGGGCGGGCGGGGAGAGGCGGTGCTGCTGGCGGGGCAGCTTGAGGGGCTCCGGCAGCCCCCCGGCCGGCGGGTGGGGGCGCTCCCCCTCCATGGCCTTGAGGAAGCGCTCCTCGGAGCCGGGCAAGTCCTCGAAGCCCTCGGAGCCTTCGGAGTCCGTCTTGGAGTCGGAGTGCAGCAGGTCCGGGTCCTCCTCCAGCTCGTCCTTGTGGCTCTCCATGTGCTCCGTGTCGATGTTCTCCAGGTCGATCTCCTCCTCGTCCTCCCGCTTGTCCTCTTCCCCCTCGTGGTCGCTCCCGTAGGAGTTGCCTTCCTCGTCCGTCCGGCTGCGGGGCGCCCAGGTCATTTTATTCTCCTTTTTGAGCCTCCTCCGGGCGTTGGCGAACCAGGTGGAGACCTGGGTGAGGGTCATTTTGGTGATGATGGCCAGCATGATCTTCTCGCCCTTGGTGGGGTAGGGGTTCTTGCGGTGCTCGTTCAGCCAGGCCTTGAGGGTGCTGGTGCTCTCCCGGGTGGCGTTCTTGGGCCGGGACGGGTCCCCGAACTGGTACTGCCCATAGGGGTAGAAAGCGGGGTGGTGGTGAGGGAAGGCCGGGTGCTGGACGCCGGGGCTGTCCTTCAGCTCGTACTGGGCACCCTAGAGCCAGCGGGGAGAAGGAGAGAGAGAGGTTTCAGCGGGGTGGGGGGGGGAATAGGGCTCTGGCTGGTTGTCCCCTCCCCGGGGGTGTCCCGGGCCACTGGGGGGAGGGGGGCTTTCTTCCCTGGGCAGGCGTGCGGCGAGCCCCCGCCAGGGCTGGGGGGGGGGGAGGGAGGGGGGCGGCGGGGAAGCGCCGTATGATTTTGCAGACAGGAGGGAAAGGGGCCGGGAGCGGGCAGGTCTCTCCCTGGCTGTGAAGGCAGCGCGCCGAGCGGCCCGGTTTGCCGGGTGCCGTCCCCCGCCGAGCGGGACACCCCGACCTGCCTTTGCAGCCCCACTTTGCAACTTTGCACACGCTTTTATAAAAATGGGCGCCGGGGCAGGCGCGCACACGCACACACACACACGCACACACACACCCCCTCTGAAACAACAACAACGCAGCCAGCCAGTGCCGCGGCCCCCGTCGTGTGACGTGCTGTTTATAAAACACTTCTAAAGCCTTTCGCAGACCCCTAAGAGCACAAGCCGAAACTGTCAATCAAAATCTCTCCCGGCAGAAATTCAACCAGGCCCCTCTCTCGGTGCGTGGATCTTTCTCGGTTCCCAGCAGTTCCCACCGCAGGCGGATTGTCACCCCTCTCAAACCTGCCCGGGCGCAGCAAGAACCAACAAGCCCCCACTTGTGTTTGTTTAAAGTTCTTAACCCTGCCACCCCCTTCACCTGCCTTACTTTTAACTGGCCACCAAAAAAAAAAAAAATAGATTACTCATTGTTCTTCTCCTTAATCATTAAAAATCCTGCCAACGTGCAAACGTGTCCTTAACTCGGTATTTCTTGTCCCGGCTTCACACAAACAGAAAGCAATGTAAAAAAAAAAAAAAAAAAACCACCACCAAAACCCCCCACCCCAAAACCTTCCTTTCCCCCTCTCTCCTCTTCCCCCCCACCCCATGGAAAAAATTAGATCCAGGTGAAGATGTTCGCTTGGTTAGAAAACAATCTGGGGCTTTCTAAGGCGCCAGGAAGGCAGGCAAGTCGGATTTCCTTGGAAAGATTCGGTCCAGTTCTCCGCTCCTGCTCGTGCCAATCGCTCCTCCGCAAAGGCCAAAGCCGAAAAACCACAAACGAGCCCCCTCAAGGCCGAGGGGGAGCCGGGGGGCATGGGGGTGGGGGTGGAGGATGCGGACGGAGATGGGGGGGGGTGGTCTGTGCGGCTCTTACCAGCTGCGGGAAGATGGGGAGCTCGGCGGTGTAAGGCAGGAAAGCACCATATCCTTGAGCAGCCGCGGCGGCGGCGTAAGGCGCTCCGTACATGGAGGATAACACATTAGAGAGAGTCCCGGACGGGGTGAGCTCTGTCCCGCTTCGAGCGCTGCCGCTCCCCTGGCGCTCAGAGGGGTAAATCGGCCTGATATACTGGTAGCCCAGCTGGGGGAAAGACATGGTGGGCAGAGGGGGTAGGGGAGGGGGGGGAAGGAGGAGGAGGGGGGAGAAAAAAAAGGAGAGAAAGGAGAGAAAGTAGAAGGGCTGGTAGAAGAGGAGGGAGCTGGCTCGCTCGCCCTTGCTGGCTGTCTGCACTTTTCAGTGCCTCCCGCAAACTCTTGCAGACATGGGTGGGGAGGGGAGGGGGAGAGAGGGGTGTTGGAGAGGCCGTGAGCTTCCTCCTCTCTCTCTCCGGCCGCTGCTGTACACGATCCGATCGCTTCTTTCTTCTCTCACTTTTCCTATTGATCTGAGTGGACTCAGGTCAGGTCCTAACAGATTGCCGGAGATTATTGGGACTCTGGGCTCTGATTGACATTTCTAGTCTCTCGCAAGCCCCTCCTATTTCTTTTAAGTCTCTCTCTCTCTCTCTCTCCTGCCCAGAGCTCTCTCTCTGGGTTTGTCACTAGCTTTTTTTTTTCCTCCCCTTCTCTAAATCTGTTTACTGACGTCGCGATCTTTTATTTGAGTTGCTTTCAAATCTCGTTTTAGCAATCGCCAATCAGTTCTGTGTTTTACAAAGGTTTAAACCCTGCCCTACGGTTTTATGATTTATATATGTATTATATACAGATAGATACACACAATTATATTTTCATAGCCCCCTTGTCCCCCCCCCCCCCCGAAATAAAAGAAATAGGAAGCTGCTGGAAAATTTCACGCAGGAAAGAGAACAAAAAGTTATGTTTCCTTGCAGAATTTTACGTTTACAACCTTATCTAGTGTAGGTTCATATTTGTTTTCTTTATTAAGATATTCCCTCCCCCTACTCCTCCCTTTTTCCCCGGCCCTAGCATGGGTTACATCGCCTAATATAGATTTAAAGTCTATTAGATTTTTTAATTTGCATTTCCAGAGCCAGTTTGAAATTTCCTAATACTGAACCTTTAAGGAGTTCTCTACATTTTGTCTGGCCTAACAGTGGGCAGATACAGTGAAAAAGCTAAGTTAATTTTCTTCCTAATAAGAGACTTCAAAGAGTTGTAGGGTCACAATTTTACATCAAAGGCAGAAAAGAAGGCAAATTAAAATCCTAACAAAGAAGAGACGGGAGCAGCCCTCTGGGCCATTAGTAAATAAGTGGTGTGAAAAAAGGGACAATGACAGGCACTGGAATTAAACTAATTAACACCTTTTTGTCTTGGTGCGAAATCTCTAATTAGGAAATTTATGATCATTTTGCTTATTCCCTCTGTTCTGAATCACGACACGTGCAGCCTTACCTGGGACATAGAACAATTGCCCTGGGTATAGTGGCATGTTTTAAAGAGTTCCTGGGAGCAAGTCGAAATATGTTGTAATTACTGTATACCCTTATTTTATGATCAACACAGTTTGATATACTGGTTTTTCTGAAACCACCGTGTGGGTTGTAATTTTAGCGTTTTAAGAGGAGTTAAAACGCATTTAAGACAAAGTGGGTGTCTTGGAAGAAAAGGTGTACCCTGACTTGCTACCGTTGTGTTGGGGGACTCGAGTAAAGGGAACATAAAAAGTTTTTGCAACCTGTAGAGTTAAGACTTTTGCGGGGCAAAATTCTGAATTTACCACAGTTGCTTTTGGGGAATTAAATGAATTAAAAACAAACCTCTGAAGTTTCTTCTGAGGCGTTTATATTTGTTATGCTGGAGAGTCATTTAATCATATTCCCCCATGTTTCTGAATACTCTGTGGATTTATTACCATTAAAATATGAATTAGCTACAATATAATAACTATGGTCACAGTATGGCTTTTTACAACTACATTTCTTTAAAAAATGAAATTCATGTCAGATTATACATTTAAAGGAATCGACCTTCATAGCTTGCTATAATAAAACTGTATCATCTTGTAATAAATACGGATTATGGGAAAGCAAGACCCAGAATTAAAATTCCCTGAATCAATATATGAAAATCTGTAGGAAACATCTCTAATCGTATTAAGTTCATCTTTATAGCATCCCCTATCTGCTAATCTAGTGCAAAAACAACTCTGGGTTGGAGGAATTTATTTTCTCCTATTCAACTTTGCTCTTGTAATAGGTTTTTATAATATAATGTAATGGAGATAATATTAAATTCAGTTGTATGTTTGTTTCTTTTTAATTCTGAAGGAAAGTAGCGAGGGAAGCCTGTGACCTTGTTTCTTTTAATTCTCTGTACAAATTGCAAGGTTTAATCGCTGCGATTCTGAGAAGGTTTGGAAATAGCTTGAAAGCGGAACACAACTTTTAGGAATGTATTTTGGGGGTGGGGGAGGAAAGGTAAAAGTGTCACAGGAATGAATGATCATTTGATCAATTCTCAGCAGGTAGTCCCCATAATTCTACCTACTACTCTACATACATATTACATATTGTACCCACACTCACACATGATAGATTTGCATACACACAGCCCAGACCGAACGCATCAGATACGTATTTTTATTGTGGCTTCACGATTGCCATCACCGCTGCTCATTTACTGAGATTATGAAGCTGGCAAGATTATTTTATTATCTCATCCTACTGTCTTGTGTCATCAAGATAGATTTTTAATCAACAATACAATCAATATAAATTCATCCCGAACGGGGAAATACACGTGTTCGACATGGATTGTTGTGCTGATTCTAATTCATGACTGACAGTAGTAGAAGCTGAATAAGGCATAGAGAAGGAATCTAGGTTTATTTGGTTCTTCTTTAAAGTGCAGAATAAAACCAAAAACGGGGGGTGGGAGGGAAGAAACCGCCGCTACCCAGGTGAAATAAAAATGTAGCCATTCACCCTACTATCAAACAGCCCGGAGAAAAGAAGTGAGATTGAAGATACGTGGGGGAAAATGCAAGCCCTGACAGAGGGAATATGGGAGGCGAGAAATTTATGGGGGCGAATGAATTCAGGTCAGGATGAGGATGAATGATGGTTTATTAATGGGAAAGAAACGGACAGGAAATGCAGCCGCACCAAATGGACTGGAGGAGAAAGCGGGCAAGCTATGGCTGTTAAGCGGAGAGGTTCAAAAGAAACCCGAAAAACAACAACCAGGCGCAGGGGAGAGAAAAGACTCCAGCCGAACTACGGCAGGGGAAGGTTCAAAGCATCTCTCCAGCCAGAAAGGCACATGGCACAGGGAGGATAGAAACACCAGCATGTGACAGCGACGCGCCGTCTAGGGAGAGGGCTGCGGATGGGGCAGGGAACTTGCTAAGCGTGGAGCAATTAAAGCAGCAGCCGTGCCTTCAACCCAGGGAGTGCTAACGAGTGGGGAGGAAGAAAAAAGCAACGCTGAAGGAAGGGTGGGAGAGAGAAAAAAACAGAAGACGGAAGAGAGGAAAAATAATAGAGTCAGACGGATGCAAAGCAGAGAAGTGGGACACATTTTGCGAAACATCTGGCAACAGACTGGAGAGATAAAGTGAGCCCTGGAGCTGGCTCGCAGCTAATGTGGCTGCTCGGATGGAGAAGAAACCTATCCAGGGACAAGATGGCTAGAGCCAGTAGGACTGAAAGGATCTGCTGCTCTCTCCGGTCAGCCGGCTTGTCTCTGTGCAGCGCTCCTACTCCGGACAGACACGTGTCTCCTGGCCGGGATCTGTCAAAGCTGGGAGAGCTGCTTCTGATTTATTACCCCAAACATCCATCCTCTCCCGCCCTGGCTCACTCACACGGTCACTGAGCTAAAACCAAACCTCCTCAAACTGCAACAGAGCCTCCTTGGCTCCAGGCTCTGAGAGAAGCTGGGACCCTGTAATAAGGAAAATGCGGACTGAGACCGAGAAGCGTGCACTGGATTTGTGTTCATTTGTACCGAAGCGGCAGCGGCTTTCGCCTCTCCCCAGGCGAACAGAGCCTCGGTCCTTCTGTGGGCGCAAGAAGAAATTCTGCAGACAGGACCCAAGCCCTGTGCATAAAACACCCCTGCCCAGAAGTATATGTACTGATATTTAATATGTATATAAATGAATCAAAGCTCCTGTCACACCCTGCATGGGCTTGATAGCCCTGACATTTCGTACCACTCACAGGCTGCTGCGCCCAGATGCATCAGGTCACAGACTATATAACGTGGACACTGTGCCATGTTTTAATCTGTGTTTCCTTTGAACGTCTCCCTCGCTCACTCCATAGTTCTAGAGATAGCAAACATCCATAGTTCTAGAGATCCCAGCTAGGAAAAAGGGGAACCGTGGCCCAGATAACCAGTCGAGACTTCGAATTCAGGACCACAGCCTGGTAGAATGGGTGTCACTTGTTGGAAGTTGTTGAAAAGCTGTCACTGAAGCTGTGAGTTTAATTAGGCTCTTACCTGCCCTTGTGAAGTCCAATTTCCGGGACGATTATGATAACTGCTTGATTAGGAACTGTGGATTGCCAAAGCGTTGGCAATTTTCACAATCAACACATGGGGAAAATAAAAGGCTGAAAACAGCCAATATACAAGATCTAGAGGTGGGGAAGGCAGGGAATAAACAAACAAGTGAAATCAGGGAAAGGGTTGCAGTGAAAAAGGAGTTAAAACTAAAAGGAAAGATCAAAGAGCTGAGTAAAAGACTCTTCAAATTACACGTTTGAAGCTTTTCCATAATTCCAAGGCGACAGATAGATAACAAGCTGCACATTCGTTATCACATATGGAATCAATCTTAAAGGAGTCTCTTGATCAAAATCTGTTAATTGCAGTGACATATGATTTGGAAAGAAAACACAATTAATGACCCTTCATGTGAAGGCTTTGGGAAGAGGCCACTGACAATTGGCGTTTTACAACCGACATCAACTTTTTGTATTTGTAAGCTATTAGTAGGAGACATTCATAAAACCTTCGCGTTTGTTTTGTCTCCTCTTATCTAAGGTTTCTTTACAAAGGGGAGGGGGCCAGAATGTGTGTGTGTTTCCTTAAGGGGTTTGGGACCTAAAATGATTTAGTACCTTGTCTGTAAATCTAATGACCTACGGTGAGGAAAAAAAAAAAAAAAAACTTCGCCTTTTATTATTACCATTTGTGGGGAGCGTTACCAGGAAACAGCAGAACCCTTTTCAAATTGTAAATATATGTATCCATTTTAAACCACTGTTACACAGATCCGCCCCCCCAAGCGAAATAAAGAAACTCTGCCAAATAACATGCTAGCGCCCTCTGCCCATGGCAGCTGCCCTGGCCATTCCAAGGTATTTAGTAATTGTCGTCAACAAGAGACCACATTCGATTTTCATATCGGTCCCCTGCAGTTAAAAAAACCTGACAGGGGTGTGTGTTTCAAACCGATTTGTGCGCCACACGGGTTATAATATTAGCCAAGGAGGCAGCAAGATTTTTAAAAGCTTTACTCTGTCATTAAAAGGTGATGGTTTTGTTTTCGAGGGGAAAAACGGGGAGGGAGAAAGGGGGGGGGGGTTCATTTGAAGGTTATAAAGCATACACTTCAATAGGATCGAAGTGAAATTAGTTAATAGGAAAACGCTGGCCAGAAGCTCTCCGGGCTTTTAAGTGCTCTCTCGGCCATTTAAGGAAATTGAATAAGAACAGACTCAGTTACCTGTAGACCTAAGTATTATCTCGAGTCCTCCATGGAGGCGAGATGGAAGCCTGGTGCCTCTCAGACTCCCGAAGTTCTGTACACCGCCTGCCAGGCTAGTTCCCCTTTCTGCACAGAATAGTTTTTGTTTAACATATCACGCTACACGATTTATCAGAAAGGGTTAAGCAAAGGTAAGAGGCCATCAGCAGATGCTTTAGACTTCCAGGGCAGTTCTGGAAAACAAGCCTCTCCCGCTTTGGAAAAGCTGGACTCTCAGCAGTATTTTTTCTCTTTCATTTCTAGGCGCTTTCCCACCATTGTGGTTCTTCGCTGATTTGTATTCGGAAAGTTGCCAGCAGGTCACTGTATTATGTTACCTAACTTCCTATCTGTTGCCTTTCTTTCTCCCTCTCTCTCTCTCTCTCTGTTTAAACTTTATAGATTTTTGAGGTGTTAATAAAACCTTTCCCTTGGTAAATGGTTTATTAGAAACCCCACCGAATTTTGGAAAGACTTCAGAAAAGCAGCGTTCAGAACTGAGAGACTGGGAGAAGGCTTTTGTCCAAAAAATGCATAATTACTGCGAATCTGAGGAAACATTAATCTTTATAGGAATTCGTGATTCATATTTGTGGTTTGACCATTTAGGTGATTTATAATCTGTTAGTACAATCCACTAATTTTATGCCAATAGATTTTATGTACACTGTTAGAGTTTCCATAGTCCTTGGAAATGAGTGGCTTTTGTGTTAATTTAGCGATTTCACTTTGATATCCAGCGAGGGATGTTTCCCTTGCTCATAAACGAAGGAGGTTATTTGGTGAGGGGGAAGTAGGCAGAAAGTACAAACGCTGATGGGAAAGTTCCCCTATCCGTTTTCCTCTAGACCTGGCAAAGCTGAAATCAAAGATTTACCCATCACCCATCAGTATCAGCCGGGCCGGTTAATAGCCAGCTCTGTCCAGAAAGACCCATTTTGGACCAGTTTTGCTCACTTTTTATGTTGTTTGTATTCTAGTCACATCTATTGCAAACTAAACAGATACCGTCTATATGGCGTACACACCCAGGTTTGGCCCAGTGACTCTCTGACTACAAAGTGAGGCTGCCAGAGAAGTTGAGTGCAATAATTGATGGGGAAGGCCAGGGCTGCAAGTGTCGCTTTAGTCCTTTAGGTGCTCCCATCACTGCTCCTTTGTAAATATTAGCCTCTGTTGATCGTGGGTCCTTGGGTTTTATTAGGGACTTTAGACCTGATTATTTCCCCACCTGCCGCACGCTGCTATTTACCCTTGTTTGTCCTCTGTGAAATCTCTGATGCTTGCTCTGAGCCTGAGATGGGCGGGGAGGGGAGAGGGGGAGTCCTTTCTTTCCTCCACTCCGCCCCCCCTCGAGCTGCCTCTGGACAAATGCCACAGGGACGCGTTAACTGATCAGTGTAAACACTAAACAGAGCCTGCTAGGGTCACCTCATGGGCTGCCAAACCCCAACCAACCAGGGCTATCCTCCCTTCGCCCCCCGTCTCTCCCCATTAGATTAGCTGAAGTTATGGCATGATTCGAAACCACCAGACTCGGGACGGTTAATATCCTGCTTCCCAAGACTAGAGACCCTGCGATAGGGCTGTAGCATCGCCAGTAAAACCCTGCCCGGTTGGAGAGAGCTGCATTAACCAACCGTGCTCCTTGTAAACTTACTTCCACCCTTATATCCCCCCTCCCCCCAAACCGGCTTCTTTTAAAAACTGCACTGCCCCAAAGGGGTCTGATGATGGGCCGTCTGCAAATGCACAAACATCCCGTCTCCTGCCCCACAGCGATCACCTCTACAGGATCAAACGTTTCTGACAGCAGCCAACATACTTGCTTGGTGACTTTGCACGTAGACTGGCATTTTTGACGCTAACAGATCCACATGGCCAATCTGTATAAAATAAAACGTAATCCTCCCTTGTATGTAATTCAAGATACCAGAGAGTAGCTCCTGACCTTTGGCATCTTGTAAATTTCGTCGTTCTACATTCATCACTGGGGAAACACAATCTTCCTACAATAATATTATTGTATTGATTATATTTATTCAAACAGGCCCGAAGATCTGACAACCCACATCCACCTGGAATGATACTTGGATTCAGAAACAAATTCTCCATTAGCTTGAAAGGTAACCTTTACAGATGGCAACGCCCAAAGTATCAAAAAAGCCCATAATCTCTAAACCTGTGATTTTCCATTCCCGGAGAGGGGGGAGGGTATTTCTGATCAGAATCTCATTCCGATTTAAATATCAAAGCCATTGTGCAAATACATGTTCTATCGCAACTTTTATACTGCGATGGCGATGATGGCATAACTGCTTGATTTGCTCCTCATTCCATGGATGCTGCTTTATATCAGTAACAAACAAGCATTGATTTTATGGTAAAGTCACTTTGGGATGGGAATGAGTAACTCCAGGCAGTGCTATCACTGTATTACATGGAAATGGCCCAGGTAACAAGATGAACATTGATTCAGCATTATGTTTGATCAATAATGAAATAAGTAACTTCAGGGCCAAATTAAAATGCAAGCTGGCTTGACGCTGCCAGCTTCTGGGCTAAGTGACAAGGCTAATTCAGCAGGGACATGGCCATATTTGCATTAGAGGCTGCATCTGCTGTTTGGTGGAAGTGGCTGGATCGGCAATAATGCTGGATAAAACAATTGCATAGAACACGTTCGAAATGAACTCCTGCGTGCAGCGAGCGTTTGTATTAATATGTAACAAAGGGTGGCGTTTGGGGCTGGCAATCATGCAGCCATTTCAAACCGAGGGCAGTTTAACGTACTATTTGTACCCAGGCCTTAAGGAGAGTGCTTTGCATGACACTTCACTCTGGCTTTTGGAAATTACTGAGGCGAACAACACAAACTTCTTCAAGGCCGGAGAACAGAAAATCACGGTTCTGTTTTCCACTTCACCAGATCGTGTTAATACTTAGAAAAGGCAATGTGCTTTTAAAAAGTCGGTGACACAAAGGGCTCCACCCCCTTCATTTTTCTCCTCCCCCAGCTCCCCTCCCCAAAAGCTTCTAGGTAAAGGAGATATTTTAAAAGCGAGCCCCGAAAGGGAGGTGAATTAGGCGACGAGTGGTAGCATGACCAACCCTCCCCGTATTGGTGGTCTTTGCCCCAGTTTATCTGCTGTTCTCTCCATGGCTAGTTTTTACAGCTTTGCCATCATTATTGAAACCGTGACACACATTGATTTCCAATAGAGATTCTCGCCTGCAGCCAGAGAGCGCAGACACTGGGGCATGGCCCGGGTTACCAAGTGTAAAACCTCTGCTAGGAAGAGAAAAGGGGCAGATGGAGGAGGGCACTCATTGCCCCAAATCTTCGGATGTGGGTCGTTGCAAAAATCCACTAAGTCACAAAGACATTCGGCTAGCTGGGTGGGAAATAGGCTGCCTCTCTGAGCCTTGACAATGAAGAGAGATTATAATTTAGAAAGCAATAAGCCTGGAGGAAATACTTCAGCAGCCTGAGTTGTCAGTGTGTGGAGGGAGGGAGGAGTCAGACAGCAACAAGCAAGGACTGTTTGGGTCTAGAGGAGAGAGGAGACCTTGAGCGATCTAGAGTGGATGAGGAAAACCAACTTCCACCCTATATTTTTTACTTCTCGCCCACCCATTCCAGATATACCAGGGCAGCTCACCCTGGCCTCATGCTAGGGAACTATCCTGCCAAATAACTGACCGCCGAGAGGCTCCTCGAAGATTCAAGACTCGCATTCGAGTCGGCACATAGACCTTGGAACAACAAGAAAGCGGGTGTGCAAAATACATAAATAAATCTACTCCTCTAACTGGTGTAGTCCCTAAATTTCCTGACACGTGTTCTTTAAAAGGAGCAGGAGAAGAAGGGAGAGGGGGAATAAACCCCCACACCTGCCTGACAGCACCTTTAGGAACACGAGTAGGTGGAGGGCAGAGTTATCCCTTCACCAGGTTTAGCCCTGTCTCATGTGAAATGACATTGGCACCATTTGGGTAGGTTCCCTTCTGTCCGTTGGTCACACTAAGCCCTTTATCCGCGGCCTTATTACAGGAATGTCCCTGCACATGCCGAATTTGTGATCCGTCCAGACTCTGGACCCCTCGACAGACTCTACCGTTCTACAGTTGCCAGGTGAAGAAATGGGGCGGGGAGGGGTGTTGAACCCGATTTACAGGAACAAATAGAGTGAACATAACATTCAAAATGTGAACTGAACTGGTTAAAAAAAGAGTGGACTGGAAACCACCTTAAACTAAATGGAAACGCTAATGAACACGGATGGGAATGGCCAGACTCCGCCAGGACCCGTTAATGACCGTAGTCCTATAAAGACGAGGGCCTACAAAGTATTGGGGCAGCAACCTCTTACTGATGGGTGAAAAGGAGAGGCAATGAAAAGCTCGCACAGGGCCCGCCAGCCTATGGGACGATGATACTGAGGCTGGTTTCAGAGAGCAGTGTTTAATGGTGTTGTCTTTTACTTTAGAGGACTTCAGCAAACCGTTCTGAATTTGTACAAGGTTGTACAGTCCTTAAGTCCGTTTTAGGGAATTTTGGATACCCTGGGTGGGATCCGGAGGGAAGATTGCTGGATCTGCCTGGCTTTACTCCAATCATGGCTCTGGCAACTTTGCACAGAGTCTTTCAAGCCACGGTGACAGAACATCGGAGAACAGAGCCCGAGTTTTTGGAGATTGGTGGGAAATTGATCTAGCGGTGTATATTTGTTAGTACTATTAAGTTATAGCACCTCTCAAAGATTCCTGTTGTGGACTCTCTCTCTCTGTAGATAATATACCCCCCTCCCCGTCAATTGCTAACCCTTGAACTAGGACGGTTTCAAACTAGACTATAGGAGAAGATTAATGGAACAGGGTAGAAGTTCCTAGACCGTATTGATGTGTAGATGGAAACCGTATACAAATGCTTCGGCGTTTTCTATCACACTATGTGTGTACGATTAAATACACACGCACTTTAGCTCTCAGTACTATAGTCTGTGTGTAGAGATAATATAATACATATGTCCTTACGGATTGTACACACTGCATATTGAAACCTGTACAAGGGGTGGTTGCTACTGTTATTGCTATTTTCTGAAAAGGGTCAAATGCGATCGTTCAGTGTTATTGATTCCTGCAAAGGCTTGTAGTGATTTGCTGAAAGTAAGTAAGGGTGAGCGTTTAAGTGTAAAGAACTATTCTGGAATTAGCCTTGGAAAGATAACCTTGCAGCGAGTAGCAGAGGCAGATGCTGCCCGTTACAGGACTGCGGAGCAAGTCCTGACACACGGGCTAGGAGGGTGGAGTGGCAGAAGCGAGAGTCAAGGCAGAGCTCGCAGGAGAGGACAGGGGCATGAAATGTACATCATTTCTCGGAAAGGCTGAAACAGACCGATGCGTTTCTAAAACCCGGCTGACCAGGAAAAGCAGTGTTTTTAAAGCCGAACGGGGCTTAGCTCTACCAGAGCACACCAGCAAAGGTCTCTTTCCTAGTAATTATTTTGCAGGGGAAATAAGAAAATGTTTGTTATTGACTGGCAAGATTTGCTTTCTCCAGCAATGTTTCCCCTCCCATCGATCCTCTTTCACATTGCAACACAGTAGCTAAATAAGTAATGACGGAATAGGTAACTTCATTAGCATAATGAAATCAGCAATGATGTACAGTATTTCAGTGTTATTAAAACAAAGCCACCTAATTGATTTCTTCTCCCCGCAACTCTGCGGATGCCAACGATTATCAAAGCAGACTTCAGGGTGATAAAAATACTAAAAAAAACCAAACAAACAAACCCCAAAACATATGAATACCGAAGAGGATGGAAATTGTTACTTAGTTAACTTTAAGGGCTGAATGGATTTTATGTATCGCGGGTAGACACAAAACCATCTACTAAAGTCAGACATGCTTTTTTTCAGAGCTAATGGAATGAGTCATCGACAGAGTGGATTATTTAAAGCGCCAT